TAGCTGGGAGAAATGTTCTTGCTCAATCAGTTCTTTCAGCCTTACCTATGTATGCCATGCAAACCAATCTCATGCCAGTAGGCTCTTGTGATGAGATTGATAAATTGTCTCAGAGCTTCGTGTGGAATTTAGGCAGCAATGACAGAAGTCCTCACCACGTGGCTTGGAATAGAGTGTGTACCCCGAAAGAGACTGGTGGTCTAGGTTTTAAATCTCTGAGGGATGTAAACAAAGCCTTTCTGATGAAAATCAGCTTTGGATTACTTACAAAAAAGGAGGCCCTTTGGGTCAAGGTTATGAAAAACAAGTATCAAATTGGTGATGAACTCCTTCCTGTGGCTAAAACCTTCTCGAATGCTTCAAACTTGTGGAGAGGTGTGGTGAAGGTCTGGCCTGAGGTAATGGCAAACTCCAACATCATGATAGGTAATGGAAAAAAAAAGGTTTTGGCATGACCCTTGGATCCCAAACATTGGCAGCCTGAAAGGAAAAATTCAGGAAGATCTTCTGGATAATCTCCTGCAGGTTAAAGTCTCTGATTATGTGAAAATTGGATGGAACTTGGGATTGGCAAAAAATAGGAAATGTGATCAGTCCGGAAGTAGGGAGACTTATAGAGAGCATGATGCCAGCAATTAAGGATTTGGGAGATGACCGAGTGTGCTGGGGTGACTCAAATGATGGCTGCTTTACTGTTAAATCAGCTTACAACTTACTAAAGAACCCTTATGTTACCCAACCTAACCTCAATTGGAAGATTATCTGGAATTGGAAAGGTCCTAGCAGAATACAAACTTTCCTTTCGTTATTGATGGGGGGTGACTTGATGACAAACCAAAGAAGGTTCATCAGGCACTTTGCAAATTCCAACCTCTGCCCTCGGTGCTTGGATCACCCTAAGAGCTCTCTTCACGCCATTAGAGATTGCATCTGGTCTCAAAAAGTGTGGAGAGCTCAGGTTGAACCCAGTCAGTGGCATCATTTCTTTGCTAAACCATTGAGAGAGTGGATAGAAGACAATATAAAGACAGTTAAACATGGCCCTAGAACCAGGGACTGGTCTCTCCTTTTTGGTATATGTTGCTGGAACCTATGGAAAGAGAGGAATAATTTTGTCTTCAATGGGGTGCTGCCTAACATCCAGTCGAGCATTCGAAGCACTATGTGCCACTATGAGAATTGCATAACAACAAATATCTCCCTTTCAGCAGGGGGTCTTGTTCAGAAGCCAAGAACAGTTAAGATGGTTAAATGGCATCCTCATCCTTCAGGCTAGTTGAAGATCAATGTGGATGGGGCTAGCTCTAAAGGCGGCTTAAAATCTGGTTGTGGAGGTGTAATAAGAGATAGCAAAGGTGACTGGATTTTGGGCTTCTCCAAAAACCTTGGCCAAGGCAAATCCTTTAGAGTTGAGTTGTGGAGCTGTCTAACTGGGTTGACTCTTGCCTGGGATAGAGGATTTACAAACATTATTCTGGAAGGGGATTCAACTAAGGTGCTGGAGTTCATTGATCAGGAAGTCTTGATGGATCACCCTTTGGCTCTTATTGGAAGCAAAATAAAAGATCTCTTAAACAGAAACTGGAACTGGAAACTGAACCACACTCTTCGTGAAGGCAATTTGGTGGCTGATTGGTTGGCTCATCAAGCCTTAATGATGAAGAAGGATATGGTTATTAACCCCTCTCCCCCGCATGGCTGTATGGCTCTAGTGATTAAAGATAGTTTGGGTACTGAGAGACCCAGAATAGCTAGTTAGGGTATGCTCTACTCTGTAATTTCCAAAAAAAAAAAACATTACTATGAATTCATACTACCAGGAAGGTGCATTTGCTTGAGGAGATAATGATGGTGAATGAAATGTGAGAATTGCTATATATCACAAGGAGAAAGAAAGAAATGAAATGAGAGACAAATTATAAGAAGAAAGAAAAAGAGAGAATCTTCAGATGAAGCTGCCTTTGCTTTTTTTTTTCTTCCTCAGCTCTCTTCTCTGTCCTCTCCCTCGCCATTTCCACCGACATGTAATCGATTATATGTTTCTTTGTAGGGATTTGCATTTGTTATTTAACATGACACAACAAACTTTCCTACACACACAACATTTTGAGGGGTCCATACTTTTTAAAGAAAAAAAGAAAATTACGGCACGCAAAACGAATCTCTATAACATTACAAAATCACTTTTCTTATCACATAACTCTTATAAAACCCTTCTTTGTAATCAATTAAACAATGCAGACGATTATTTAATCGATTACGCTTTTCTTGTATCGATAACGGGTTAACGATTAAACAAGAGAAAATTGGTATAAAATTTTGGAGCAGGGGTAAAAAGATTATTTTTTAATTAATTCGGGGTAGGTGGATAAAAAATCCGAAGCTTTACCATATTGAAAATTTTGATTATAAGATGTTGAGAGGCTACACCGTAATAAAAACTTATCACAAAATCAAAACAAATATTTTATTGTAATCTTGAGATGGTTTTTGGCTTAAGAAAATGGAGTAACCATTATGATTAAATTTATCTATTCATCTTTATTCTTAATTTTTTTTTGATATATCATCTCTATTCTTATTTATTTCTTATATTCTTTACATATTCTTATGATTATTTGGTTCAATTTATATTTTATCTTAAAACTTTTTAAAACACATCCCACATCTTATGTCCTAAGAGCATGTTTGGTGTGATGTATAAAACATGATAATATAAGCTTATACTATACGTTACGACATTTATAGTTGTTTGGTGTGACCATCATATAATATAAGCTTATACAACATGATCCCTTTATACATCAAAATGATGTATAACTTAATCAGGTCTAGGAGGGTAGGATTATGCCTGATAAATGGTTGATGTATTAACCAATGCAATTCTCAAAAATTAATATATTATTTTAATATTAGTATATTAAAATAAAAAAAATTTTAATATATAATTTTTAAAAATATTGGAGATTTTTATTTTTATAAAAATTAATATATTTTTTGGACACATTGATCACCATATTTCTATAAAAAAATTAATATCAACTAATATATTTGGAAGAATTATGTAAATTCATTATTAAAATGTATTTTTGACAAAAATACTTATTTTTAACCTATCTAATATTATACAGTGTATTACCAAACATTTTATGATATTATTATCTTATATAATATATTATCTTATACAATATCATGCCAAACGCTGGATAATATTAAAATTTAATCAGGTCTTATACAATCATGTCTTATTCTATCAGGCCTTATCCTATACTATGTCCAAACATGTCCCAAAAAACTAGTATGATATATCAAAATAAACATAATGACTTATATGCATATAAAGTTAAAAATATATTTAAATATTGGATTTAATATTTGTCCTTTTAAAAGACATAGAATTATGTCTTTTTAAGTAAGAGAAAAAAGTACACAATGAAAATTATGAAGAGAAAATTGATATTTTTAATTCAAATTTTAAATAAAAAATACTAATTTTAACTAAAATGACCATCCTTTAAATGTACGAACAATTTTTCCTTAAATATTATCAAAAACGAATAATAAAAATTAAGTCATACAATTATTAATTTTTAAATGAGCTTTTCTTATTAAATTTTATAAGATTATAAATATGTTTATTTTAATTTATTTAGCATTAAGAAATTGTTATTAAAAAATTATCAATTAAATATTTTGTTATAAATATTTCTTAAAATTACTAATTAATATATACTAAATATATGTTTATTAAATAATAAACAAATATTAAATTTAAAAAGTCCGTGAAATGCATGATAATTTAACTAGTTAAGCACTACCGAAAACAAAGTGAAGCAGTCATTTCATTTCCATTAATTGAGATTAACCTTGACAGAATTTTTTTTGATAAATTAGGCTGTAACAAAATTATTAGGAGTTTAAGTAAAAATATTAAATAAAATAATTTGAGAATTAAGATACTACAAAATTACAAATCATGTTGAAGAATAGGGTAATTATGTTTAGGGGTAGGATATTGTAACCAATGTTATTAAAACCAGTCCGGTCATTGATCCAGTCGAGGTACCAGATCACTGGTTGAACTGTATGACCCGGTGATTATATGAAATCTATAATTTATTTTTAAATATTATAAACATACTCAAATAGCTAAAAAACTAATATAAATTCTAAATGTTTTAATATAAAAAATAATAAATTATATATCATTGTTCAATAAAGGATCAAACAAACATATAATGCTTGTGATATTGGTGTTTCAGATTCATTAAACGATATCTCTAATTATAAATCAAGTGATATTGGTGTTTCAGATTCATTAAACGATATCTCTAATTATAAATCAAATCAAAAATCTTTGCATAGTACATAACTGAGATAATATTAGTATTGTAGGTACATAATTTGTGTAAGTTAAAAAGTAATAGATCACTCAAATATATCAATTATGATTTTTTTTGGAATTTTTTTTTAAAATACCGGGCGAGGTTACCGGTTTATTGGTCGGGTCATCAATTTTCACCAAAATCGACCGGGTTGCATCGGGTTGGCCGATTCAATGTGATAATCGGACAGGTCAAATGACCGGCTCACCGGGTTCCGGGTCGACCAGGCCGGTTCGGTTCGATTTTTACAACATCGATTGTAACAATCAATTAGGGTTACTATCAATTAATTTCACCCTTAGATTGATTATGTTGATCTAACAATTATATTTATTTTCATCTTTGTATAGTTATGATTTTGCGTATTTAATGTGAAAATATTAAATATGAGAAATCATAACCATACAAAGTGAAAATAAATATAAAGTATTATATATAAAAAATTACAACCATATAAAAGATGAAAATAAATATAACCATTAAATCAATATAATCAATCCTACAATAAAATTAACAATAACTCTAATTAGTTGTTCGAATATTCTACGCATGTTTAACAATAAACAAAGAATTTTATTCAGAGGTCTTAACCAATATCAGCATTGTTGTTATTGTTTGACTCTTTGTGGGTGGCACCTTCTTGAGCTTCTTCTTCTTTGTTTCTCTCTCATTCCTTCTTCCATTCCATAGCAGGGTTAGAGAGAGAGAGAGAGAGAGAGAGAGAGAGACCAAACATAACACCCGTTTTGCTCTCTTTCTTCTGCAATCACACACTCACACACCCACTACCCCTAATTTCCCCTTTTTCTCTCTCAATTTTCGAGGGTTTCAATTTTGACTTTCAATCATCATTGTCAACGCGAATCCAAAGGTTCCGAGATCGAAAAGGTCAAGTCTTTGACCGATTCCGATTCGGAAAATGGCGTCTTCGAGCGCAGCGGGTGCTGGATCCGCTGATTCCACAGCTGCAAGAAGAAATAACAAGCGACCTAAGTGTAATGCCCTCTTTATCTCTCTGATCTATCGTAGTTTTCTTTGGCCTTTTGAGCTCAAATTTCAGTGACCCATTTTTTCTTTTTTGTTGAATTTTTTTGGTTTATATATGAAATTTCTTTCTTTTTGGGGTTGACTTTAGTGCATGTTGGGAAGGAAATTTTTCTGATCTATCATGTCTTTTTGTGTGTGTGATGGTTTATCTGTGTTAGTATTTAGTGTATAATAATACCTAGATAGAGGTACCTGTTGCTTGAGTTCTATTTCATGAAGATATAACTATTTATGAAATCAAATATACACTTCATTTTTATCTTTTGAGAGTTGGTATTTGTGTTAAAAAGCATTGGACAGACATATTGGTTGTTTGTTGACCTAATGAAAGAGTTCTATGTAGTTGGATAGTATGTGCTGATTTAACAAAATCAATATATCATTACCTTTATCCCAAACTAGTTGGGGTCAGGGTTCGATGAGCAAGAAAGAAAAATAAATAAGCTAGAATAAATAAATAAATAAGTAAATAAACAAATAAAAAAATGTCCGATTTAACAACAATTGCTTTTATTTCTTTTTGTTTGTTGGCTCACAAAAACTTAACTGATAAGAGTTCTCATTGTTTGAAAATTTAATGCCTTTCAGATTCAAAGTTTACACAGCAAGAACTTCCAGCGTGCAAGCCGATTCTTACACCACGAGCGGTAACACTATCTACTACCTTTTTGAATTCGTTGCTCATGATTGCTAATGTACCTACGTGCATCTACAAGTATGGTGGTTCAACATGTACTTAGTTTAAGTCTTTCCATGCAGGTTATTTCAGCGTTCTTGCTTGTCAGTGTTGTATTCGTTCCTATTGGAGTTGCCTCACTGATTGCTTCAAGAAATGTATGCCTGAGTGCTATAATGTATTGAATTTATGCTTACACTTGTATATAATGTTGAATACTACTTTCATTTTCTTGTATCTGCCAGGTTGTTGAAATCGTTCGTGGGTATGAGTCAATGTGCATACCAGAAAATGTTACAGACAAGGTAGCTTACATTAAGAGTTCTGCAGATAAAACATGCAACCTAATGCTAAATGTTAGTATCCTTGACACCCGTTTAACTATTTTGTTTAACCATGAATTTTCTATTAACTTGGTTCTCATAATTGATGATGAAAGGAGTTGACAGTGTGACAAATCTTATCTTTTCTTAAATTTTGCTCTTAAAAAAAGGTGGAAAAGCATATGAAGTCACCTATTTATGTCTACTATCAGCTTGACAACTTCTACCAGAATCATCGCCGGTATGTAGTAACCCCTTTTTTTCTCGTGCATCACACATTCTTTTTATCTGTTTCAATTTCACATTTAGAATGTGAGGGAAAAATGTGGTTTTAAGAATAAGTATCTCCTGGTCCTTTCTTCAGTTCTTGACAATTAATGGAGGGGGACTGCAAAGAAGCTGCTGGTTTTATTACCCCTTTTTTGTTTAGAAAGATTCCGTCAAGCTTATTCACTTAAATCTTTTAACAGTCTAATGATATTTTTTATAGCCAATATAAAGCTAATTTTTCAGTTTTGCTCTATATCATAGTAATTAAATAATCCTGGATAGTGGCGCGATTTTCCATTTTTAATTACTCTTTATATTTTGTCAAAAGTGTGGTAATTGATGTCGGGTGAAAAGTTCCACATACACGGTTACATTGCATTTCGATATATTTTTTTTTCAAGAATTCTACATCAAAGGTGATGGTTGTGCTCCAGCCATTGTCATTTGTCTCAATTATTTTAAAAATTAAACATTGCCTTGCTTTAAATCCTTTAACAGTTATTGAGACCATTATATTCAGCATTGCTTATTGCTGGCACCTATTTTTGTTTTTGACTATTTTCTACTCAACTACCGGAACTAGTAACTCAAGATAGAAACGAAAAAAAAAGTGCAGAAGCTTGTATCCACCAGTGATTCAGTTCTATTACAATACTGGGGTAGGAAGAAATTACAGAGTCAGAGAACAAAAGTGAAAAATAAAAATAAGAAATGGGGAACGATAATAACTGGCTTTTGGGTGGCCATGGATCTCCCTCTCTCACTTACTTCTCAATTCTTGCTTAACCTTCTCCTTTTGCTTCTCCCTTCTATCCATGCTGCGTGTAACTTCTTTTCCCACTTCTCGGTCAGTCACGTTTTGTGGTGTCTGTGTAGACTGGGTTCCTCTGTTCCCCCTCCTAGAGTAAACTCTAATGATGGGTGGTCTAACACAAGTCACTTTGACAAATTGTATGGATGGCATTTTGGTACAGTTGTAATACATGTCATACTTTTGCTTAACAGTAATATAATGGTAATTTCAGTACAGTCAGAGCATATTAAGTCAGAGTCATGTATCTGTTTCCCTTGGTTTTAAGAAATAAAAGTTTATATGTACAGAATAAAGTTAGAATGAATGAAAGTAAGCAGTGAAATAAATGATTTGACAACTGGCATGAAGTTCATTTACAGGCTATCATCTAAACTGGCAAAAATATTTTATGAGGTAACACACTTATTATTATAAATATTTAGAGTTGTAACTTTGATTCAATTATCTAACTCCTAGAACTTTAGAGAATTGTCAGAGATAACAGATAATAAATTATTTATATGGGATGTAATTTATGGAGACATACACAAACTTCTACCATGTACTTACTATTCGGGTAATTTGCAGTTGATTATTATAAATATTTAGAGTTGTAACTTTGATTCAATTATCTAACTCCTAGAACTTTAGAGAATTGTCAGAGATAACAGATAATAAATTATTTATATGGGATGTAATTTATGGAGACATACACAAACTTCTACCATGTACTTACTATTCGGGTAATTTGCAGTTGAATCTTGTCAGAGAATAGTATAAACTATTAAAAAGCCTTCATCCACCAACTTAAGCTTTTGGGTTGAATTGGTTCTTTACATGGTATTAGAGCCTCAGTGTCATGGGTTCGATCCTCACTGCCCCCTACTTTCTCTTGTGAAATTTTCTTAGTATAGGTAGGTGGGCCTGTGCATTGTCCACCCTTCAAGCCTAGTGGCTATTGTGTGAGGGGGCGTGTTAGAGAATGGTATAAACTATTAAAAAGCCTTAATCCACCAGCTTAAGCTTTTGAGTTGAATTGGTTCTTTACAAATCTAATGCATATTTTTCATTATGTGTGATTGTTTATATTCTTATAATCATGGTGCTTTTCTATAATTTAGGTATGTTAAAAGCCGAAGTGATGAGCAATTGAGGGATACTAGTGATGAGAGCTCAACAAGTACGTGTAAGCCTGAAGATATTGCCAACGGAAAACCAATTGTACCTTGTGGTCTTATAGCTTGGAGTTTATTCAATGACACATACAGCTTCTCCCGTGACAACAAAAATTTGACAGTGAACAAAAAAGGCATCTCCTGGAAGAGTGATAGGGAGCACAAATTTGGCAAAGATGTTTTCCCTAAAAACTTCCAGAATAGTTCTATAAAAGGTGGTGCATCTCTAAATGAATCCATACCGGTGAGTATTTATATGACCTCTTGTTTTGGATAAGTTAAGCATCTATCTTCATGTATAATTATCTTTCATTGCATGGTTCACCAATGTAATTAGATGTTGTTTTTGTTAATTCAGTCTTAATTTAGCCTTTGTTTACCCTTTTATATGCTTTTGTGTTAATCTTGCATGTGTGGGTTTAATTCTTGTTGCTGCTGCTGTTCTTGTTATTAATGTTGTTGTTACTACATTTATTTGTATTCACATTGTACATATAGTAATGACTTTTCAGTTTCACACGGCAAATTATTCCAGTATTTCACATACATCTTTCATTTCAAATTTTCAATTATTTCCAGTATCTTCTTTTGTTCATCTTGTGATTAGTCTGAGTATTCTCAATTAATGGCTTGCATCTAATGAGATATATTGCTCACCTTTTTGGATGTTTTATGGCACAGTTGAGTGAGCAGGAGGATCTTATTGTCTGGATGCGGACTGCTGCGTTGCCAACTTTTAGGAAGATGTACGGAAAGATAGAGGTGGATCTGAATGAAGGTGATAAAATAAGCGTAACACTGAAAAATAACTACAACACATACAGTTTTAGTGGCAAGAAAAAGCTTGTACTGTCAACTACTAGCTGGCTTGGTGGGAAGAATGACTTCCTTGGCATTGCTTATCTCACTGTTGGAGGACTATGCTTCTTTTTGGCTATGGCTTTTACCATTGTATATTTTGTCAAGCCAAGGTAAATACTTGAAATCCTCTATTGTTTTCCACCATTAAAGTTCCTTTTGTAGCAGGGCAATTCATGGGGTAGCTTGCATGGGCTTTCTTATTCTGTATGATTTCTTACATATTTGTTTGACCAAAAATGGTGTTGGACGCATTCATTTGTTCCATACATAGAGTATGCTGTTAGTTGGGATTTAATTTCATCCGCATCTCCCTTTTCTAACTTAAATTCTTGGTTCTGTGACTTCTCACCTATATGGAGTATGCCGTTGGTTGGGATTTAATTTCATCCGCATCTCCCTTTTCTAACTCTGAAATCAGCATTGAATATATTAGTCAATTTGTTTAGAACCTACATAATGTTTGAGCGACTTGTGTGTAAAGTGTGTTGGCAAATTTGTTGTGTATTTATGACATCTTTTCTGCTGTGAGAGATTGAGAGTTTTCTTCTTGGACATATGTTGAAGGATTAAAAAAAACACTTTCCATTAAATCCTGACCAGCGAGGGTGGGTTGAGGGTAATTCTTGTACGCAATTTACCCCTGCATATATACAAAGAGACTGTTTCTCGGATTCGAGACCCGTGAGCTTACATATGCAGAAGGATAAATGTAGAAAAGATTATTTCCTACTAGGACTTCTAAAGTTGTTCAAAAAGGAAAAAAAGAAGAAGCTCCCTTTATTGTTCTTTAGGGTATATAATTTACAGAATAGTGATTAAAAAGCTTTGGTTAGAACGTCTATAGGAAAAATAGTGGTGAGATTGTTTTAAATGCGTTGACAGGATTTTTTGTACATGATGGGTGTTTTTGTCCATCTATTTCTCTGATTCTGTCCATCGCACAATTCAAAATTTAGATCTGTTGGATTTTGTAAAGTAGTTTATTGGATTATTAAAATTAGCATATATTTCAACAGCGACTTGCAATGAAAAATTTGAATTATTGTTATTACTTCCCAACCTATCTTAATATGTCTTTGCAGGCAACTTGGAGATCCCTCATATTTGTCATGGAATAGGAATCCGGGAGGGCATTGAGCAAAGAAACTAGTTATGCTTGTCTGTTATTTCCAACATTACATGGCTTGTGTATTCTACTGTGAAGGGTGCAATTTTTGTACATTTATGTTACTAATTACCAGTAACACTTATTTAGGAGTTCTTACCCCCCCTCCCATTTCTCCCCACAAACAAAGGAAACCAGAACACTTTTTTTTCTTTGTTTTATTATGCATCATAATTGGAATATATTTTATGTCCTAATAATTAGTGTCCAATATATGTATTAGTTGCTTTTCATACAAACCCGTGAAAATAGTAGAGTTCTTTTCATGTTTGCTTTGTTTGGCTTTTGTTGAGCAAAAATAGATGAAGTCTTGTGGAGTAAGGTGAAATGCCTCTTCAACATTAGCAAGATCCCCTTCATGCAGTTGATATATTGGAGGTTAAATTATAAGAGCATATGAATAATATATTCCCTGAAAAATATCCTAAATGCCTATTGCTTGATCTCTGCATCGTTGAAGTTAAACACTTCCGTGTGTAGTTTTGGAATATTATTTGGAAAATTAAACATGGTAAGTCATCACCATTTTAAACTTGTAAAACATTATTTGCTAATGTACATTTTGTTCTAAAATATGAGTTTTATATTTTTCATTTAACATGAGAATTTTTTTTTTTACACACTTTGATTTTTGCATCAACATGAGTTCCACACGACTTTTTTAACATATGGTCTTACGTGATTTTTGTCTCTATGGCATAAGGAGGTTCATTTCATGTAACATGAGAAATATAAAACTCATAAAATATTATAGGAAAATGATAAAAGCAGTTGGCTTGTAAATGTGTCTCATTTTAGTTCCTATAAAATTTTAATTAAGTAATAATATCAACACTAGCAACACTTTTATCCCAAACTAGTTGGGATCGGTGGTAGATGAACTCAAATGAAATGTACAAATTTTTTGAGAAAAAGATAAAAAATAAAATTTGAATATATATATATATATATATATATATATATATCCATAAAAAGAAAAAATAAATAAAAATAAAAATAAAGATGCTTAGGAGGACAAAAAAGAATAAGAAAGTAAGAAAAAAAAAGAATATAGTGAAAAAAAGAAAAAAAAAGAACACATAAATAAGTAAATAAATAAATAAGAGAAAAGATTGAACGGAAAAATGAAATAAAAGAAAAAAAGGAAGGAAGAAAGAAATAGAGAGAGATAAAGAGGAAAAAGACTAGAAAGAAACCATCTGGAATATAGGAATAAAAACGAGTTTAACCCTCCATCATGTTTATAGTTTTTCTCCAATCCGTCCTAATGTACACCGTCCATCAATCTATATCCCACTCCATTAAGTCTTGTTTTATTACCTTTTCCCAAGTAAGTTTTGATCTACCTCTATCTCTCTTTGTATCAAGTTCTTAGTAGCAAACTTTTGTTCTTATAGGAGCATCTAGAGGCCTTCTTATTACGTGCCCAAACCACCTCAATATATGTTCTCTCGTCTATTCAGCCACCAGTACCACTCCTACATTTCGTCGAAAATATTCATTTCTTATCTTATCCATCTTTATACAACCACACATCCATCTTAACATCCTCATTTTCGCTACTCCCGTTTTATGCTTATGTTGCCTATGTGCTAAGCTCTTTCTAACATTTGTCTTATTGTTGTTCTATAGAATTTCTCTTTTAGCCTAAGGAGAATTTTGCTGTCACACAAAAACCCAGATGCACCACACCATTTCATCCACTCTGCCCTGATTATATTATTTACATCCTCATCGATTTCTCCACATTTTTACAAAATTGATACTAGATATCTAAAAGCATCTTTCTTGGGTGCCTCTTGTCCAAGCAAATGCACAAAATCTTGATCTCTGTCTCTTGCTAGAGAAAACTCTCACTTCATATATTCAGTCTTGTTGCGGCTTAACGTAAATCCTTTAGACTCCAACGTACTTTTCCACAACTCTAGCTTTCTATTAACAACAGCCTTCGCCTCACCAATAAGCACAATATCATATGCAAAAAGCATACACCATGTCACTTTCTCTGAATATCTTTTGTTAGTTTATCCATAACTAAGCCAAAAAGATAAGGACTTAGAGCAGAACCTTTGTGTACACCTACCGTGATAGAAAAATAACTTGATGTTCCATTACAATGTTTCACACATGTAGTAGCACCGTTATACATATCCTTGATTGCTTCTACATACTTTGATGGTGCTTTTTTCTTCTCAAGAAACCACCATAAAAATTTTCTTGGAACCTTATCGTATGCCTTCTCAAGATCTATAAACACCATATGTAAGTCTTTCTTCTTTTCTCGATATCTTTCCATTAATTGTCGCATCAAGAAAATGGCTTCCACATCTTCTTGGTATAAACCCAAATTGATTTACAGAGACCTTGGTCTATCTCCTCAAGCGATGTTCAATAACTCTCTCCCACAACTTCATAGTATGACTCATAAGTTTAATGCATGTATAGTTATCACAATTTTGAATATCTCTTTTGTTTTTGTAAATAGGCACAAGCATACTTTTCCTCCATACATCAGACATCTTATTTGTTTGAAGAATCTTATTGAAAAGATTGGTCAGTAATTTTATTGCCACATCCCTCAGGCCTCTCCACACTTCAACAGGGACACCATCAGGTCCAAAGCTTTACTAGTCTTCATCTTCTTTAAAGCCTCCTTAACTTCATGTGCTTTGATTCTGCGCACAAATCTTCTATTCGAATCATCATACGCGTCCACCAAGTTCACCTCGTTTTTATCTCCTTCCCCATTTAAAAGCTTGTTAAAGTAGTTCATCCACCTTTCTTTTATCTCTGTATCTCTTACCAAAAGTTTTTGATTTTCATCATTGAAGCATCTAACTTGGGTGAGATCTTTACTTTTCTTATCCCTCTTGATCAGTTGAATATGAAGTTAATTATGTTGGGTTTGTGCTCTTTTACTAAAGCCCAAATGAGTTAAGAGTATGATAAGAGCCCAATGAGCTTAGGGCTAGGGTTTCTTGGAACCCTTATAAATGCTGCCATTTAAGTCATTATCCTTCTAGGTCATTGAACATAAGAGGTAAGCTTAGATCTGAAAAGTGCCCACATACTTCCCCTTCCCTTTCGAGAGATAGTCTGGAAGATCTGCCACTGTCCAGCCTCAAGGAAGTTTGTTCGTGCTGTGGCGCTGAGGTGAGCAGTTCATGAAGATGAATCGTACATGGGGAGATTTTGCACATCAAGAGGTAAATCAGTAAAATGATGATGATTCGTTTGCATCCCAAACCACAATGGTCTAAAACACTTCCGCAGATCCAATTGCTCAAAAATTGGTATTAGAGCCGGATTGCGTGTTTGGATGTGGATCTAGTTTTGATTTATAATTTTCATGTAATTAGTTTTGCTTTTGAAATATGACACCTAGGGTTCTATGTTTATTGGTATGAATTTTACATGTATATCCTTATAATTCTTTTCATTAAAAATCAATGCTTTATTTGGTTTTTGACTTTAACCCATGGTAGATATTTGAATGTATTTTCTTGGGTTGTAACAAGGAGGCTAATCTCATATGATTAGGTTTCCTCTTTGATTTTTATTTCAATTTTTGTATTTTTTTACGTATTACAAAATTTTAATAAAAAGAAGATCCAAGAGAAGCCGAATACAAAGACATTCGTCACTGTTTTGACGTGTTCGTGACTTCTCGATGGCCGATATGAGAAACCAACCACATGGCGTGAAAGAAGACAAAGCATAAGAAGAAAGTGGTCGGAACGGCTGGAAAGGACACCAGATGCGCCCTCATGTAGCTGCCTGGAGTGGCCGCGTGTGGGCCTCACTTGTCGGTAAATATCTGGTGCGTGGAGGTGCGTGGCTGGCCGGTTTCAGGTGGTTCCGGCGGCATTATGTTTGTCTCTTCACAACAGTCCTTCCCTTAGAGTTTCCTACTGAGATGAGTTAGCATGACGACGTAGTGGATGTGATGCCTAGGGTTCCTTAAAGTCGACTTAGGGTTTCTTGCCAAAGTTTGGTATTTTGGGCTTTTGGGCCCATGGTTACCATAAAGGGGCTTGAAACAGAACCTATGGACTAGAAAGAAGGAGCAAATGAGTTGAACCTATGGGCTTGAAACAGAATCTAAAATGGTCATGCGTAAAGCACACACTGTCTATCATGACCAGATTTTAGGACCTTAATGATTTCACAAATTTAGTAAAGTATCGTACGACTCATCGTTGGCAATGCTTGGATGCTAAGTAAATTTTTTGAAATTAAACAATTTTGTGAAATTGAAAAAAAAATTGCTTATGTTGAATGTGAGGAGATTTAAATTAAGAAATTAATTTAACCTCCAATCGCATCATAGGACCATTAATAAAATAATCATGTGAAGCCCCATCAGATAAACATGATTGGATTTTATTAGATTGGGCCTAAATAATCATGGGAGAAGATTTAAATTAAGAAATTAATTTAACCTCCAAGCGCCTTGTGGGCCTATCAATAAAATAATCATGTGATGCCCCGATGGATAAGCATGATTGGAATTTATTGGGTCTTAATAATTTCAAAATTTTAGTAAAGTATTGTACGGCCCGACGTCGGCAATACTAAATTATTAAAGACAATTTTGAAATTAAACAATGAATTTTTACATTTAACAAAGCTTGTGAAAATTCTCATTAAAAATATTGAACGAGTGAAAGTTTTAAAATTAATTAATTAATTTTAATACTTGTGGGCTCCATTTGGGGTTTATTAGTGAAATGATTATCGTTGAAGCCCCATCGAATAAGGATAATCGGATTTCCCTAGATTAAATCTTAATAATTTCAAAATTTTAGTAAAGTATTGTACGACCCATCATCGGCAATGCTTGGATTCTAAGGATAATGTTGAAATTAAACAATGGTTAATTATATTCAACTTTGGTAAAATTGTTAACCCTCCCTTCGAGGCTCTGGCAATGGCACCGAAGGCCCAAATAACAATTTTAGTTTTTACAAGTGACTTGCCCATCGTAAGCCTTCTTAAGAAAACTGAAGGATTGTTGGCAAGTAAAGGTTGGAGCTTGAACTAAAAGAGCCATCTTGGAGAAGTAAGGCTTGAATCCATGAAAAATATGACTCCAAACCCTTCTTCCTCCCACTTTCCATTCGGCCATAATGATTATATGTTGATAATGATGTTGTAAATTATTAAAACTGGGGTGTTGATGGTTAAATGTGTTGGTGGAAGTCTAAAACTCAAGAAAGATGAAGACTTGTAAGAAAAAGTGTCACCTTTGGCTTGTGTGTGAGTTGTTCTT